TTCCCAGGGGGCCGCTCTCGCCTCGTCCCACCTTTCAGAGGCAACGGCATCGACTACATGGAGTTCCGCCTCTGGATCGGCCTGCACTCTGCCCTACAGTGCCTTATCCTGGTGGCCACCGACGCCAGCTTCATTATAAAGTACATCACCCGCTTCACAGAGGAAGGTTTCTCCACCCTCATCAGCTTCATCTTCATCTACGACGCCATCAAGAAGATGATTGGAGCCTTTAAGTACTACCCCATCAACTCGGACTTCAAGCCGGACTACGTGACCATGTACAAGTGCGAGTGCATCGCCCCCGACCCAGGTGAGTACAGCCTTTTTTTGGGGGGATGAAGGGGAGCCGGGGCTGGGGGGGTCCTGCTGCCGGTAGATTCCGCTGGATCGTTGGCCAAGCATGTGGAAAGAGGCAGCTACTCGGGCAGCGTGGGGTGGAGAGATCTCCTCCTCCTCCTGGGAGGGTGATTTTGGGCCAGATGGAAGCAGAGGCTCGTCCCCCCCTGGATGAACGCAGTGATGCTTTGCTGGGACATGGCAAACGGTGCCAGAGAGCTGAGGCCTCAGCCTGGAGCAGCCAGACCTGGATGGATAGAAAGGAAATATGGGGGAAAAAAAAAGGACATTTTAGATCATTAATTCCAGCCTGCTGCTGATGGAAACATTCTCCAGAAAACAGGCTAAAGGGGTCTTGTCCTCTCTGGTGCCTGGGACACCCCAAGATGTCCCAGTTGGGTGTGGAAACCTCCTTGGACTTCTTTTTTTTTTTCCTCTCTCTTCCTCCTTTTCAAAAAGAAGAGGCCATTGGGCTCTAAGCAGATGCTCTTTTGATGGCTCCTCTGGTTTTGCTCTGGGACGGGTGTCCTGGATGATCTCTGATCTGAATCGTGTAGCTCAGATGCTGCCTCAGCCACCTGGAAAGGAGCAGAGCTCTTCACTTTGGGCTAATGGCAGCCACCTCCTGCTCCCAGACAAGCTGAATTCATTTTAAAAATCTAAATGCCAACAGTTTTGGGGAGAATCAGCTGCAGCCAGAGGGGGCAGAGAGGTGGGATGGTGAAGAAATAAACGCATCCAAGATCTGCCACAAGATGTGCTCCCAATCCATTGTTCCAAGACCTCATTCCTCCCACCATGGAAACAACGTTTACTTAGTTTCATTTTGTATTTTCCCTCAATTTCTGTTTATCAACCACCCACTGGGCGCCCAGATCACTCCCAATCCATCATTGCAAGAAGAGCTCATTCCTCCTGCCATGGAAACAACGTTTACTTAGTTTAATTTTGTATTTTCCCTCAATTTCTGTATATCAACCACCCACTGGGCGCCCAGATCCCGTTGGGTTTTGAAAGCCCTGCACGTGGCGGGGAGCACCCAGAGACGACACGATCCTCTCCCACCCAAAACCCTCCCAAAAGTGACCTCCAGGAGAACAAACCCCGATGCTCCATGCAATCCCAGGGGGCTGAAACTCCCCCAAATGGAGCCGTCACCACCTCCACCCCCGGTGTGTGCCAGCAGCACCCGCCCCCGGGGCTCAACGCAGGAGGCAGGTGAAGGCTTTAGCCTCACGGGACGGCCTTCAGCCTCCCGGGAGGTCTCCCCCTTTTCCAAGCCCCATCCCAAGCAAACCCCAGGTGGCCGAGAGGCATCTGAACCCCCAAAAACCTCACTAAGCCTCTTTGCCACCCAGCCCTCTTCCTTGCCCTCACTGCCCCGGGCACCCAAGGCAGTTGGTGTCCACATTGGATTTTCCATTCCTCTAGATACTGAGAAATTATGTTTATTCTCCCCTAGATCCTTTTTTTTTTTTGTTGTTTTTAATTTTTTTTTTTAATTAGTTCTGATTTTTGACCATTATAACTGATTTGTACCATATTTGTCTCTGCTGCACACATCAATTTGGGCTGATTTCAATCTCAAGTGAGTATCGCCTTCTAAATATTAAAACTATTTTAATATTTGATACTCTTCCCCCGTGGGGGGGTTTTGTTGTTATTTTTTTTCCATGTATTTGACTTTTCTCTCTGCTCTGCTAAAAGGGTTCGTGTAGAGCCCTCAGGGGTCCTCTCTTAAAATACCACCCGTGGTACGTTACCCTTTAAATTGTAGAAATCGCCAATAAGGCCGGTTTCTGGAAAAAATAAAAGGTTATGAAGGAAAACAAAAAGACTCAAAAAGAACAAATGATGACGTTTTTAACGCTGGTTGGGCCAGCACAGTTTCCCAGAGCCCGTTTTCCAGCAGCCCCTTGGTCTCTGCTTCTAACCCAGCGATCGCTTCTCCTTCATTAATCCTCGGCGCCGGGGATGGAGGCAGCAGGTCGGGGCAGCCGAAATTCCCGCTTGGCACCATGAGAGGATGGACCCGAGGGCA